GGGGGTATTGTCCAACGTGCAGCGTGGCGGGAGCCTGCCAGCTACCGGCCTCTGGCTTCCCTATGGGGGGAGCTACGGCACCTGGCAGAATAGCGCCATCCAGCCACAAGGGAGAGCTGGGGTTGGGGGCCCTGCCAGGGGCTGCCGGCGACCACCCAACTTCCCTGTGGGGACCACCAGGCCTGAGCTGAGGGAGCAGCGGCCTGAGTGGGAATTACAATGCGACCTGCTCCCACAGAGCCCCCGTTCCTGGTACTCCCCTGCTCGTGCACCCTGGAGAGCTGCCTTTCACAATGGCATCCTCGCACGGTGGCCGCCCCTTTGCACATGGCCTTGTGCAAAGCAGGAGAGGTGGGCGTGCCCACTGAGGCAGGGAGAACACCTCAAGGAGGGGTTCTGCTTGGAGGGAGCTGGGAGTGGCTGGGTTGGTGGTTATCTCCAGAGCCTCTGGCTCTTGCTGGGGTCTGCAGGAGGCACCGGGGAGGGGGGGGGCCTGAGCTGGCGGTGTGGGACCTTTCACTTGCAGCCTCTAATGGGTGGGGAATTATCCTGCACTTGGAAAATCAACTGCAGCCATTGGCCTGCTGCCCCCAGAGGGCTTGGAGGGGGGTTGCTAGGTGGCTGTTGCTTGTGTTTCACTTGAACGCATGGAAGTAGAACTTAGGCGTGGGTCATGGCCCCTGTACTGCTAATGAAGATTCCCCTTCGGATCAAGGGCTTTTGGAGTTGGATAGTCTGAGTTCTGGCCCTGTGGCTGCTGCTATTTGTGTTTCTAAGACGAATCTCCATCTTGGGGCAGCTGATGCATCACCAGGAGCCGCTCCAAGCGCCGGGAAGGGAAAGGCGCATGCCGCTGTTCTGCCTCCTTAGTGCATTTAGCTTCCAGAGCAAAGGCCCCAGGGCTCAAGCCGAATTCCAACCTCAGAAACTCTGTTCCGCCTGCCTGACCTTCTCCATGCCGCTGGCGGAGGAGATTCCCTGCCTTGAGCTGCTGTCATGCACTGCTCTGCCCACGTCCTTCCCCCGAGGTGGCTGCATTTCCGCGCTGGGTGCAAGGGCTCCCGTTCAGTGCTGGGCACCGTGCTCTGGAATCCGAGGAGCTGAAGGCTTGTTAGAAACAGCCAGCCGGCTCATGTCCCTTTACCTGTGTTGCAAGCGGCTGGAGTGAAGTTTAGCCGCTTTTCCCATGAGGAATGTCTCT